GGTTTACGTAAAAGTTATACTGTTTACAAATGGAGGTATATATACCGGAATTTTTTTTATTTTTTATACTTGTAAAGGTACCGATCAGTGACATATAGTGGGACTTCAGCGGGCATTCTGACATGGGGGGAACTGACTTGGTGTCACTGACATCCCCAGTGATGCCAATACAGTGATCAGTGCTAATAAAAAGCACTGATACTGTACTAATGGCACTGGGCAGGAAGGGGTTAACATGTGGGGCGATCAAAGGGTTAACTGTGTGCTGTTTTACTGTGTGTGCTGTGCGTGTGTGTTTCACTGTAAGCACACTGCTATTCAGAGCCATACAAAGCAGTGTGCAGGAGCTTGACAGGGGAGAGATCTGTATTGTTTACATACAGGTCTCTCCCCTGTTGGAAATCCTCGGCGATCACTAGGTGCTGCTGGGGAATCACTGGCTGGGACTCGGTGATTGACAGCCGAGGCTGCGAATGGCGGCACGTGTAGGGCCCAGTAGCAGTATTTCTGCTATAGGAAGGCGTGGAAGCGGTTAATTACCTCCCTCACTCCTCTTCCAAAGAGCCATTAAAAAAAAAAAAAATGGCCCATGTGCTGCTGCCAGTCTTTTCCAGGCATTTGGGAGCTGGCAGATACTGGTGGGCTTCAGGTTGATGGGCACTATAGTGTCCCATGCCATTTGTGTCCTGGGGGAAATGTGCTGTTCATGCGCGGCAAACTTGCAGCATAGTAACACACTGCCTCCTCCTGGGATAACTATGACCTAGCAATCCCAGGAGGCAGTGGGTCCCGACCTAGGCCAGGACTTCAGCAGTGCTGTCTTCCACTTAAAAATCAACAAAACAATCAAAATTAGAATACATTATTTTGCATTTGAGTAAGAGGAAGGGAGGGAAGGACAAACGAATAAATTATTTTGGTGAGTTAAAATGTGTGCAAACCCTCACTTTGTAAAAAAAAAAAAAAATAGTAGTTTAACTACTTGGCGCCGGCCGCACGCAAATGTGTGGCCTCCCGGCGCCTGGGCCTTGACGCCAAGCGGCCACACAATTAAGAAAAAACATGTGCTGAGAGTGCGCACCCTGCACGCTCCCAGCACACATGTCCGGTACTCATGGAAAAGTCCCGATCTCCTCTTGCGATCCCATCCCGCCTCCCGGCTTCTGAAACCCTTAAAGGGCCAACGGGTTAAACAACAATTCTAAATGCTTTATTTTTTGTAAGTGATCACATAACCTCTGTTCTCAGGGGCTTAGACCGATGAGAGTGGAGACTGCAGGGGGGGGCGTGTCAGCGGGAGGCAGAGAAACAGCAGAACAATGATCTGCCCAGTGAAGAGCTGTGCTAGGTGGCATGGCAGCATAAGTCTTGGCCATTGGACGACAGGCAGGCTGTGCTCCTGGCACAGCCAGAAAACTCACCATTCTGGGAAGGATGTGCTTCTATGCCCAGCGTGGTCAGTTTGAAATAGTTAAGCAGAGGGACTGGCAGGAACACCAGAAATTTCACACAAAGGGAGCAATACAAAGAGAAAAGGATACTTTTTAATACATGATACAAGTGAAACATATCAGGAATGTGAAATATTAGAGTAACAAACACTTTAAGTTGTGCTTTTACAGTAATCATAGCCCTCTATTGGAATGCAATTAATTTAAAACAAATGGGTGATAGAGGTGACAATCCTATCAGGCCACTTTTCTAGTGTTTTGTTTCATGGCCATATCAAATCAAATTGACATTAATCCCTTTACTGCCACCGCTGTGAATACTACTGCAGTGTCTTTGGGGGGCTTTACACACACTCATGGTGGCTGCACCCGCTGGGAGTGCATGTAAATCTGACAAGCCGTCAGATCAGCTGTAAGATGGAGGCAATCATATTGTTTTCACACATTCTGGTAACCCTTGGTCCCCCACCCCTGCACGCGTCCATTGTCAGACCTTGGATCAGCATGGTGGGTGCTGCAGTGTAGAGGGGAGGGAAATCAGCGAATGTTCATTCGCTGATCTCCACTTCCTGTTAATGCCCGAGAGTGATGTATAAAACAATACTTCAGAGTCCTGATGTCACTTTCCCCAGCCAGAATAACTGGAGCACAATCTGCATTGCATTAGTGTCAGTACAGGGCAGGTGAGACATCAGAGGTCTAAAAGACCCATGATGTCTCACTGACCACTTGCCCTCCAGAAGATTGATAATTGCGCAATCATGCAACACTGCAGAAATGAAATTTATATCATTTCACACAAATAGAGCTTTCTTTTGATGGTATTTGACCACCATTGGGTTTTGTTATTTTTTATTATATAAACGAAAAAAGACCAAAAAAAATATATTTTTTTTACATTCTGCTATAAATCATATTCAATAAAAATGTAAAAAAATCTAATTTTTGTATGAATTTAGGCCAAAATGTATTCTGCTACATATCTTTGGTAAAAAAAAAATCCCAATAAGTGTATATTATTTGGTTTGCATTAGAGTTAAAACGTCTACAAACTATGGGATATTTACTGGAATGTATTATAATTTTTTTTTATAATAGTAATGGTGGCGATCAGTGACTTATAGCAGGCAATCTGATACTAGCTCATGCTGGCTAGGGGGGTACACTAACTGACTAAGTGACACTGACATCAATAGTGACACTAATTCAGTGATCAGTGTTAATACCAGGGCTTTTTTGGGGGGAAACACAGGGGAACGCAGTTCTAGCGCCTCCAGCACTGAATGCATGTATTGGCAAAGGCGCTGGGATGTGCTGGAGGATTTATTGATACTGGCTGCTGGAGGATCTGTTGTTTCTGGAGGGGATTTATTGTTGCTGAAGGGGACCTATTTTTGTGCTGGGGTCTATTAATGCTGTCGGGAATCTATTGTTGCTGGAGATTGGTCTTATGCTGCTTGTGGGTGGGGTCAATCCTTGCAGGGATGGATTTACTGTTGAGGGAGGGGTCTATTTTTGCTGGCTGCTTGAGGGTCTATTGGCTGGCTCTTGGGAGTCTATTGTTGCTGGTATGAATCTATTGTCGCTTGGGGGACCTTTGCTTTTTTTTTGGGGGGGGGGGCTATTGTTGCTAGTTACAGGGGATCTATTTTACTACTTTTATTGTTATCATTAACAAATTCCATAAAAATTTCTTAGCACCACAAAACACAAAATGATACTTGGTTATGTATTCTCTAAAAGGGGCAGTACTGGGAGGTGGGAAGAGGTTGGAACCAAGGAACAGTGCTTGGAGGTGATTAGGGGGCGGAGAAAAGGGGGGTTTAGAAGGAGAGAGTTCCTGCACCTAGTCTCTGAGAAAAAAAGCCCTGGATTATACTTTACACTGTCAATGTACTAATGACACTGACTGGCAAGGGGTTAACATCTAGGGGTGATCAAGGGGTTAACTGTGTGCCTAACAATGTGTAATGTGTGTAAATGTGCTGCTTTTACTAAGAGATCTTGTTTTTTTTTTTCTCTGCTGTGCAGGGAATAAAAAAGCAGCAACATCGCCTGTCAGCGTACAGAGTTCTCTTCTGTGAATCACAGAGTTGATCAGCAGGTCTCAGTGATCAATCACTGACCAGGACTCACTGATCGGCTTGGGCTGTAACAAATCCCACCACAGCTGGGGCAGTGGGCACGCAGGCACTGCTCCCTACCTGACACCTCTGGTCATGTACTAGATACATGATCCAGCGCAGAGCGGTCCCCCTGCCACAGTAAATGTGCAGTGGGGCAGTTGGCAAGAGTTTAAGGAAAGTCTGTCATGAAATCTAGAATCACACAGCGGACTTTTTGTCCCCTTTGTAATGAAAAAAAAAAAAAATAAATAACATTACACTCAAACACTTAAAATCTCCCTCAACATAATATTCGAGCCCCCCCACCCCCACATACACAACCATATGAATGTAAATGCATGTTACATATCGCTGCACACGCCAGAGTGGGACCAATAATTCTAGGCCCAATAGTCACCTTTAACTCTAAACTGATGTCTTGTAGGGACTATTAAAGCATCGCCTATGGAAAATATAGGGGAACTGAAATGTATCACCTTTTCATGGGTGCGCGCAATTTTAAGGTTGTCATGTTGGGTATCTATTTACTCCACATAACCTCATATTTTCTATTTTACCAAAATTAGTAATATATTGAGCTTGTGTGCTATAAAATTCAGTGTATTTAGTGTATTTTTTACAGAAATTTTGCATTTCACAAACCGTTGTGCTAATTGTGGGTGACATGAAAAATTGGAACTACCACCATTCTCTTTTCTAGTGTGTCTGCTTTCAGAAAATATATAATATTGGGTTATACAATTATCAGGTCTAAAAGGAACTGCAACGCCAAGTTCACATGTGTGCAGCCATGTGGGCTGTGATTTGTGCAGGCACGAGAACCCATTAATTTGAATGGACTCCAATGCCCTGGGACACGCAGGGAAGAAGTTCCTGCATTACTTGGGAAATTGCTCTTCTTCACGGGAACCGAGGTTCCCAGTACGGTTGCAATTTCTAGTGTGGGCGGCATGCCATTACAATTAATGGCACCTGCCTGCGGGTCCTGCATTCCTCTGTGTGGGTGGTGTGGCTGCAGGTATTCTGTGCGGGTCCCGCATTCCTCTGTGTGGCTGGTGCGTCTCCAGGTATCTGTGCGAGTCCCGCATTCCTCTGTGTGGGTTTTGCGGCTGCAGGTATCTGTGCGAGTCCCGCATTCCTCTGTGTGGGTGGTGCGGCTGCAGGTATCTGTGCGAGTCCCGCATTCCTCTGTGTGGGTGGTGCGGCTGCAGGTATCTGTGCGGGTCCCCATTCCTCTGTGTGGGTGGTGCAGCTGCAGGTATCTGTGCGGGTCTCCCATTCCTCTGTGTGGGGGGTGGTGCGGCTGCAGGTATTTGTGCGGGTCTCCCATTCCTCTGTGTGGGTGATGCGGCTGCAGGTATTTGTGCGGGTCTCCCATTCCTCTGTGTGGGTGGTGCGGCTGCAGGTATTTGTGCGGGTCTCCCATTCCTCTGTGTGGGTGGTGCGGCTGCAGGTATTTGTGCGGGTCCCACATTCCTCTGTGTGGGTGGTGCGGCTGCAGGTAATTGTGCGGGTCCCGCATTCCTCTGTGTGGGTGGTGTGGCTGCAGGTAATTGTGCGGGTCCCGCATTCCTCTGTGTGGGTGGTGCGGCTGCAGGTATTTGTGCGAGTCCCACATTCCTCTGTGTGGGTGGTGCGGCTGCAGGTAATTTGTGCGGGTCCCGCATTCCTCTGTGTGGGTGGTGCGGCTGCAGGTATTTGTGTGGGTCCCGCATTCCTCTGTGTGGGTGGTGCGGCTGCAGGTATTTGTGCGGGTCCCGCATTCCTCTGTCTGGGTGGTGCGGCTGCAGGTATTTTTGTGGTTCTCACAGAGGCAACACCCGCACAGATGTGAACCAAGCCTAAGGCTAGGTTCACATATGTGACTCCCATGTCCTGGGACATGCAGAGAAGAAGTTCCTGCACTACTTGGGAAATCACATAGGAACCTCGGTTCCCAGTACGGTTGCAATTTATAGTGTGGGCGTCATGCCATTAAAATTAATGGCACCCACCTGCGGGTCCCACATTCCTCTGTGTGGGTGGTGCAGCTGCAGGTATTTGTGGGAGTCCTGCATTCCTCTGTGTGGGTGGTGCGGCTGCAGGTTTTTGTGGGGGTCCCGCATTCCTCTGTGTGGGTGGTGCGGCTGCAGGTTTTTGTGTGGGGGTCCCGCATTCCTCTGTGTGGGTGGTGCGGCTGCAGGTTTTTGTGGGGGTCCCGCATTCCTCTGTGTGGGTGGTGTGGCTGCAGGTATTCTGTGCGAGTCCCGCATTCCTCTGTGTGGGTGGTGCGGCTGCAGGTATTTGTGCGGGTCCCGCATTCCTCTGTGTGGGTGGTGCGGCTGCAGGTATTTGTGCGGGTCCTGCATTCCTCTGTGTGGGTGGTGCGGCTGCAGGTATTTGTGCGGGTCTCCCATTCCTCTGTGTGGGTGGTGCGGCTGCAGGTATTTGTGCGGGTCTCCACATTCCTCTGTGTGGGTGGTGCGGCTGCAGGTATTTGTGCGGGTCCCGCATTCCTCTGTGTGGTGGTGGTGCGGCTGCAGGTATTTGTGCGGGTCCCGCATTCCTCTGTGTGGGTGGTGCGGCTGCAGGTATTTGTGCGAGTCCCACATTCCTCTGTGTGGGTGGTGCGGCTGCGGCTGCAGGTATTTGTGCGGGTCCCGCATTCCTCTGTGTGGGTGGTGCGGCTGCAGGTATTTGTGTGGGTCCCGCATTCCTCTGTGTGGGTGGTGCGGCTGCAGGTATTTGTGTGGGTCCCGCATTCCTCTTGTGTGCGGCTGCAGGTATTTGTGCGGGTCCCGCATTCCTCTGTCTGGGTGGTGCGGCTGCAGGTATTTTTGTGGTTCTCACAGAGGCAACACCCGCACAGATGTGAACCAAGCCTAAGGCTAGGTTCACATATGTGACTCCCATGTCCTGGGACATGCAGAGAAGAAGTTCCTGCACTACTTGGGAAATCACATAGGAACCTCGGTTCCCAGTACGGTTGCAATTTATAGTGTGGGCGTCATGCCATTAAAATTAATGGCACCCACCTGCGGGTCCCACATTCCTCTGTGTGGGTGGTGCAGCTGCAGGTATTTGTGGGAGTCCTGCATTCCTCTGTGTGGGTGGTGCGGCTGCAGGTTTTTGTGGGGTCCCGCATTCCTCTGTGTGGGTGGTGCGGCTGCAGGTTTTTGTGGGGGGTCCCGCATTCCTCTGTGTGGGTGGTGCGGCTGCAGGTTTTTGTGGGGGTCCCGCATTCCTCTGTGTGGGTGGTGTGGCTGCAGGTATTTATGCGAGTCCCGCATTCCTCTGTGTGGGTGGTGCGGCTGCAGGTATTTGTGCGAGTCCCGCATTCCTCTGTGTGGGTGGTGCGGCTGCAGGTATTTGTGCGGGTCCCTCAGCAGCACCACCCACACAGATGTGAACCAAGCCTAAGCCTAGGTTCACACCTATGCAGGTTGCGTTTGAGCCGTTTCTGCACTGCATTTTTGATGCTTTTTTATGTGTTTTGCGTTTTTTTTTTTTCTATCATTTTTCTTGTTGCTAAGCACATTTAAAACGTATCAAAAACATGGCAAAAACACAGCAAAAATGCAGCAAAAAACACACTACATGCTTTTCTGCAGCATTTCCATTGAAGTCTATAGAACCAAAAAACGCAACTTTTTGTGTTAAAAAAAGTCCCTGACCCTTTCCAAAAAACGGCACCAGATGAAAACGCGGAGATGTGAACCAGTCCCATAGGAAATCATGTGAAATGGACTGTACTGTGTTTCTGCAAAACGAAAAAAAGCTGCAGAAAACGCTTAGGTGTAAATGTGTGCAAAAAAACACAAAACAGCTCTGGTAGTAAAAAGAGGGATCAATGGGGTCCTTAGCAACATGGCAGCACATGGCAATCTGTCCAAATTAGTCATGGGGGAGGGGTGGTGTCACCGGGTACTTAGCTCGGGTGGTGTCACCAGGTACTTAGCCCGGGTGGTGTCACCAGGTACTTAGCCCTGGTGGTGTCACCGGGTACTTAACTCGGGTGGTGTCACCGGGTACTTAGCTCGGGTGGTGTCACCGGGTACTTAGCCGGGTGGTGTCACCGGGTACTTAGCCCGGGTGGTGTCACGGGTACTTAGCCCAGGGTGGTGTCACCGGGTATTTAGCTCGGGTGGTGTCACACCGGGTACTTAGCCCGGGTGGTGTCACCGGGTACTTAGCCCGGGTGGTGTCAACGGGTACTTAGCTCGAATGGTGTCACAATGTACTTAGCTCGGGTGGTGTCACCGGGTACTTAGCCCGGCTGGTGTCACCGGGTATTAGCTCGGGTGGTGTCACCGGGTACTTAGCCTGGGTGGTGTCACCGGGTACTTACCGGGTATTATCAATATGAAGTCATTCTTTTCTGTTACTGATTGTCACAGAGAGGAACAAATAATAAAAATAGTAAAAATACAATGTTTGTTATATATTCCTCCTGTGACTGTCCTCCAGCTGTGGAACCACAAGACCCAGCATGCCTTATCAGGATAACCTGGAAGGTGACATCTACACATCCTCAGATCACCATAGTGCTGGGTGTATCCATGCCGATCATTGTGCACACTGAGGAAGGCGTGTCCTGTCTCCATGACAACAGGAAAACAAAACATTCCACACCAACCCATTCTCCCCATACAGCCATTGCACACAGTGCTGGACAGGTTTTATTTCTCCTTCATCTTCTTTTAATGTTGTCACCATGGGGCTGGAGAGGAGACAGGACTGGCATCTGACTAGTACTGGCATTGGGCACGATTATAAGGCTCAGGTTCCCTTCCCCCCTCCACATATCAAGGTAATGTAAAGACACCCAATCATATCACAGGTACAGTATATGTTTGTATATAAAGCAGGTATATATTTATAAAGGGTATTGATCATCATTGCACAGCCCTATTGCAGATATATGGGGGTACACTGCAGTCCTAATGGCACCCCCAGCATCTTCATGCCTTTTTATAACATTTTTAAAAAGGATCAAACTCTTCTTTTGCGAATTTCTCATGTGTAGGGCAACCAATGGGTGTCAAGGGGAAACACATGAAACTGTGCTTGCGCTCTTTCATGTCTGCATAGGTGTGAACAGTGCCGTATCATAGCTTCCAGGACAGCTACAAACCCGTACAGTGGAAATGTATACGTATCCTAGATTGTAAGCTCTGATGAGCCGGGCCCTCTGTTTCCTCTTGTACCAAATTGTATTGTAACTGTAATGTCTGCACTTATTTTCCAAACTTTTACATAGTTAGGCTCCATGTACACTGGACACTTCTGAACGATGGAAACTGATTGCTGGAAAACATAGGTTAAAAATCGTCTGTTTAGCCGCATTTGCATACCGCGTTTATAAGCATTTATTAGCGTTTTTTAACCACTTGAGCTCCTGAGGATTTACCCCCCCCTTAATGACCAGGCCTCTTTTTGCTGTTTGGCGCTGCACTAATTCAAATGATAATTGCGCGGTCATGCAATGCTGTACCCAAACAAAATTTACGTCCTTTTTTTCACACAAATAGAGCTTTCTTTTGATGGTATTTTATCACCTGTGCGCTTTTTTATTTTTTGCGCTATAAACAAAAAAAAAACATGAAAATATTGAAAAAAAAACAATATTTTCTACTTTCAGCTATAAAAAATATATCGTAAACTCAAAGTTAGTCATAAATTTAAGCCAAAATGTATTCTGCTACATGTTTTTGGTAAAAAAAAATCCCAATAAGTGTATATTGATTGCTTGTGTGAAAGTTCTAGAGTCTACAAACTATGGTATAGATACTGTAATTTATGCCTTTTTTTATACAGCGCTGCACTAATTAAATCTGGGTGGGGCGCTAACACTATCGGAAGTCGCCAGCGACACTGATACAGTGATCAGTAAAAAATTTCACTAATCTGACACTGGTGACAGGGCAGTGAAGGGGTTAACTGGGGGGGGGGAGATTAAGGGGTATTGGAGCGGGCAAAACTGGCGCTATCTGGGAGGGGCGCTAACACTGATGGAAGTCGCCAGTGACACTGATCAGTGATAAAAATTGGTTCACTGATCAGTAACACTGGTGACAGGGCAGTGAAGGGGTTAACTGAGGGGGGGGGGGCGATCAAGGGGTTTAAACGGGATTACTGGTGTACTGGCGGGCAATCTGGCGCTGTCTGGGAGGGGCGCTAACACTATCGGAAGTCGCCAGCGATGCTGATACAGTGATCAGTAAAAATCGGTTCACTGATCAGTGACACTGGTGACAGGACAGTGAAGGGGTTAACTGGGAGGGGGCGATCAGGGGGGTTAAATGTGTCCTAGAGTGTTCTAACTGTGGGTATGTGCTGTTTTACTCACTGTTTGTATGTCTTCTTCTCTGTCTGGAACGGAATGTGTCCAGGCAGAGAAGAATGACATCATATCCTGTCCTGTGTAAATGTCAACACAGGACAGGATAGGACAGGGACCGATCATCTGATTTCAGCCAGACATCACTGGCTAAAATCGAATGATTGATCCCTCCGGGATCAAATGGTGTCACCCGCGGGTCGGCGGGGAGCGTGCGCGCGCGCCCCGTCGGTGAAAACGTCGGGAGCGCGGAGCCCTTAAAACGTGCTTTTGCGCCCCAGTGCCACCCTGCACACGTATATATGCAGTGGCAGGGCGGCAAGTGGTTAAAGATAACCTCAGGAGACCTTCCAAAATGCCCAGAATGCACTGAAAAACAGTCAAAAATTTACTATATCAGACAGAGAAATAGAGAAAGCAGAAGCAGAGAGAGCAGTATTTGTTGAGATTAGCTGTCTTTTTTTTTGTGGTGTTTGGATGTGTTCCAGCTCATTTCTGTGCAGAAATTACAGACGTTTAAAAGCATTTGGCATATAAAACGCTGATAAACTCTGTAAATGACTGTAAATGACATAGTGTACATGGGCACATAGGAAAACACTAGGGTGAGTTCAGGGGCTGCTGAAAAAAATGCAGAAAAGCTCCTCTACGTGAGTTTATCAGCTGCAGTGTGTATGGAGCCTTAGGGATCATGTACACTGCAGCTGATAAACTCACGTTTAGGAGCTGTTCAGTGTTTTTTTCAGCAGCCCCTGAACTCATCCTAATGTTTTCCTATGTGCCATGTACACTATGTCATTTACAGACATTTACAGGCATTTGAGTTTACAGTCATTTTTTTAATGCAGAAAACTTGCGTTCAGCAGTCAATTTTATCAGCGTTTCAAACACTAAATGCTTGTAAAAGCAGCTAAACGCAGCAAATCACATTTATCAGTGTTTGCGTTTGAAATTTTTTATTTAACTCTTCCAGTTCCCAATGCTGTCCAGAGCCTTTTTTCATCATGAAAAATGCATGCAAATCGTTTTCAGGGTACTCAGATGGAGAAAACACTGAACACAGGATGTTCCTACCAAGCTTGTCACAGATTGTAATGACCAATTCACACCTCAGACCTCTCCCACACTTGGAAACAAAAGATATGTTAATGACCATTCACACCTCAAATCCCTCATGAAGAGCCCCTGCCAGGTGGCATTAATGACTCACTTCACTGGACACTTTTCCCACCCTTGGAAACAAAAGAAATGTTAATGAGCAACTCACACCTAATTATTTCAACACATACTGCTATCTCTGCTTCTACTCTCTGTATATCTCTGAAACAGTCTGAAATAGTTAATAATTCGCCACTTTTCAGTGTATGCTGGGCATTTGGGAGGTTCTCCTGTGCGTATCTTTAAAAAACGCTTCTAAACACAAACACACATAAACGTGCATAAACACGTTATGCAAACGCGGCTAAACAGACACTTTTTTTAACCTACATTTTCAAGCAGTCAATTTCCATCGTTCAGAAGTGTCCCGTGTATACGGGGCCTAAGTCTGGCTGAAAAAAGACAAAAGTCCATCCAGTTCAACCATTAAAAAAAAAAGTTATAATCCTGTACCCTCAGTTGATGTGGCGTTATATAAATCCTGTATAATAATAATAATAATAATAATAATAATCTCAAAAAACATTATCCAGAAAAATAACTTTACAAATCATCAGTTTGTTTGATTTTTTATTACTATCCACATTTCTTATTCATATGAACTGATTACGTTGTTTTATTATTTATGTCTACATTTATTATTATTATGTTTATTATGATAATAAACTTCTTGCGGCTATACACGCTTCAGTTAATGACTGATTTCTGCTCTGATTGATCTCTTGTAATAGGAATAATCAGTCTATAGTTGTGATAGAAGTGAATTTCGGTAATTAGGATACAATCGTAATTTACGATTGTAAATTATCAAGCACATATCTCATGTAATCTCATAATCTGACCGGCCAAAATGCTATCATATTAAAAAAAACAAAGTATCTCAGTAACTGCTGATCAATGCAAAATGGTAGAACATTTTCTTCCTTGGCTGATCAACTCAGCTTGACCAAATTTGATCTACACCTAAAGTCTAAATTGATCAGAAGGGAAGTTATGGCTTTCCGATCTCTTTCTGGTCCAATCGTTTTGTTAGACTTACACATCGATCGGATAATAAAATTGAAGTGTGTAGGGCTGCCCCTAGACGGATCAGTAATTCACGTCTGTGACATACACTGTGTGGTCCCGCTTTGATTCCATGGACACAAAGCAGAGGGACTGACAGGAACACCAGGGATTTTCACACAAAGGTACACATGTAATACACACATGGTACAGCAGGCATATATCAGGGATATGAAATGTTGGGTTGTTGGGTTTACATTCTTTAAGATCTGGCAATGTGAGGCTCTCCAATGGGGTGAATGTTATAATGTCAAACCAAATTAAGATATAACTAAAGAACATATTTTCTATTATTTTTTCTTTACAGATAGCATTTTGAAGGGTTTTAGAACCCCTGTCGCGTTCTAATCACTGTCTGTTTCCAATAGGGAAAGAGATAGCAAAAAATAACTATTAACCATTCCCTATTCTATTCAAAAGTATAAGAATGCAATACTTTAAAGACCTATCCATACCTTTTTGTGTGCATTTACATGGTTTTTGTTTTTTTTTTTGCACGATGCTGGTTTTTTGTTTTTATGTATTGCATTTATTCTAAATAAGCAAGTAACATGCAGAAAGTGTACCTGCACTATAGCACACAATGTAGAAAGCATTCACATCTGTGCACTGTGGTGTGCTATATTTTATTTGTATTTTTTACAGGTACGTATATAGCACCATCAATTTACACAGCACTTTACATATATTTTTATACATTCACATCAGTCCCTACCCTCAAGGAGCTTACAGTCTAAGGTTCCTAAATCATCAGGACCAATGTAACTATGTAAAATATACCATACCTGGAATTCTTCTTTATGTTATATTTTACTAAATAATAGGGCAGCAATGGCAGCCTCCATGCCTCTTACAGCTCAGGGCTCCTTTAAAGAGAGTCTAAAGGTTCATTTTTGTTTTTTTGTAAAATAACAAACATGTCTATACTTACCTGCTCTGTGCAGTGGCTTTGCACAGAGCAGCCTGGATCCTCCTCTTCTCGGGTCCCCCCCAGCCTCACCTGGCTCCTGTCTGTCGGGTGCCCCCAAAGTAAGCAGCTTGCTATGGGGGTACCTGCTGTTTCATGTGTCCATTCACACACAGAGCTGTGGCTTGGCCCGGCCCTGCCTCCTCTCCCTCCTCATTGGCTGTCTGGCTGTGATTAACAGCAGCAGGAGCCAATGGCTTCTGCTCGCTGTCTCAGCCAATGAGGAGGCAGAGATCCAGTACAGCCGAGGCTGTCATTCACATCGCTGGATTGCTGAGGCTCAGGTAAGTAATGAGGAGGTTGGGGGATCTGCTGCACACAGAAGGTTTTTACCTTCATGCATAGAATACATGAAGGTAAAAAACCTTCAGCCTTTACAACCACTTTAAATAAATAATAGAATTAGTGCAAAACAGATTGACATACAATCATGTCAGTACTATATTACAGCTTACCAGTCCTTAGAGATGATGACTGCATTTGTTTTATTTTTCCAGGTAAGTACATTTTCTGAAAGTACAAAACAATTAATGCTCAACCTTATACCAAACTGGTGTCCTGTATACTGAACTAAAATATCAAACCCAGTTATATTCTGTGAATTACAAAACTTCTACCCTCTAGATCAGTCCTTTTCATCCTTTTTATCTTAGCGGAACCCTTGAAATAATTTTAGGTCTTGGGGAAACTCTGTTAAAACCAATTAATTGGGCGCCAGTGGGAAAAAACCCTAACCTTGGTGGTCAATGGAAAGAACACCCCCCCCCTCCATTCCATACAGTGGAGGTCAAAAGGCCACCCTTGCAGACAGCTAAAAAAGACTATTGGTGCCCTGCTGCTTGCTTTGCCAAGTAGCATTGGCCCCAGAACTACAGCTACAGTATACAGGCACCATCAAATGGGAAGTCAATCAGCTCAATGAATCCCTAAAAACCTCTGGAGGAACTCTAGGATTCCATGGAACCCTAATTGAGAATGGAGAGGAGTTGTGGTCTAACTAAGGAGAGCATCCTAAAGTGAGAAAGCTACTACTCTATACATACAGTACAGTGACTGAGCATTGTCACCTTAGAACAGGGAATGTGTCACTGACAGGTGGAAATAAAGCAGAAAAACCTAAAATTAATAAAATAACTGGTAAGCTGCAATAAATTCCATTTTTTTTTTTTTTTTTGATACACTTGATGGGGGAATAAGTGATGCTGAGATGACGAGATATTAGAACAGCTTGGACAGAAGAAACTTTTTCTATTTTTATGTCTTTTTTTCATTAATGCTACCTAATAAAATATGTTGTACTTTGTCTATCGTTTCAGTCAACCATCTTCGAGCCACTGCCAGTCACATTACAACAAATCAGTGAAGTAAATGCCTTCGATGAACTGCTGAATACATATGAGACAACCACTGGCAGCACACATAACAGGAAATATCCCAGGGGCCCGTTTTCACAGCCCAGTCACCCTCTCCCTTCTCCCCATTGGAAGGTCCATTACAACAAGGACTTATGGGACAAGGTGAGGAACAGCAGTCGTGTTACTAAGTATCCATCTGTCACAATGGCTGACAAAGCTGTATATTGTTTTGAGGGCTTGTAGAAACATGTTTTTCTATGTTTTAATGAATCAATTTATATTTCTACTTGGAGTTTCAAAGTGGTTTATCTACTGCTAAGGCAGCCATCATGATCTCACTAAGTAGAATTACGCACACTAGGGAAGTTTTACATAAATCACAATTATTCTGTGAGCATGTCTTCGGAGTGTGTGAGAAAACTGAACTACCTGCTGGAAGCACAAGCAAGCACAGGGAAAACATTCAAACTCCATGCAGATGAGGTCTCTAATTAAGGACTGCAGTGCTGCAAGGCAGAAGTGCTAACCACTAAACCACTGTACTGGTTTGGATATATATGTAAATTTTACCAAGTTCCGATTTGCTCTGGCTCTGCTAAGAATGTGTTAAATTCTGGATTGATCTTGGAAGAGCCATACCCCATGGCATCATTAAGGCCAGGCATTCAGAAATAATGTTGTATTTTAGCAGGGTAGCTTTTACTTAGTTGGCAGTATCAATTGGAATGCCCCGTCTTCAGATTACAGCCAGCTGGTTCAACCATTGTTGGACAACAAGGGAACATTAGCCTTTCTACGGTCCACAATTATATTCCAAGAAGCTGTGCTTAGAGTGGTTGTAATGCAATAAGAATTTATCAGCTACTATATTGGTAGCTGAGTTGTTCTTAGTGGGGAATGTCAAGAGAACATCAAGGGCCCATTTAACGTAACATGTTACCTCTGCAATAACCCAAAGGTGTCCTTGTGCCATAAGGATTTTCAACATGTTCAGGACTACATTGATCCACTCCTACTGTTGCCCTTAAAGCTAAAGTTTAGATATGCACGTTTTTTAAAAAATGGATCAATGTAAGTGTGCATGTGTCATACCTGGAAGATCCCCATGGAAGCTGGAAATGAATTTATTAGACACTACAGTGATCTCCACTAGCTTCTTGGTCCTGTGCCAAGCACAGGATGCCTTAAAGCAGCATATGTCAGCACACAAACAAGAGCAAAAACATGTGATGGGACCTTTAAACTTCAATAAAGTACTTGTGAAGCTCACTTTTTAAATAAACTGCCATTGTTGACCTCTACTTCTTATTATATTAGCGACCTAACTGCCACGCTGATGCATTGTATTCAGTACTATTATATTGTTGTTTCGAGACTTTCATTTGCTGGATGCTTGTTCTAAGTTAGTGACACTAAAGCACAAAAGCCAGAGACAGCCAGGTAGCTAACATGTTCAGTGGGAGACCAAGAGTACCAGTTCCCATATTCCTCAAATGACAGGTGTACTTTAAAGAGCAATTATGACAAGTTATACGGATCATTAAGGTTTTAATGCATGTACCAGGGGCTTTTCTTCTAGTAGAGCACCTTGCCTATCATTATTTTAAATCTATCTTGCAGTTGAAGTCAAGAACATGGAGGACTCCAGAAAAGTCTTGCAGTGAGATGAAAGCACAGTTTCAGGGCCATTCAGCTCAGCCAACCTACAGCACATTCCACTCAGGACCACAGCCCTTCCCACTGGAGAATCATCTGAACAAGGGACCATCTCAGGTTATTATTACACTGCCCTGCATAATTAATACCCACAACACATAAGGATTACATTGCATGACTACAGCCCAAAGATCATGTCACCAATGTTCAGACTATGCAATGGGCAGAGTGTTTAGATCTATTGATTAAGATGCTGTTATTTGTATTGTTTTTGGAAGTATAAAAAGTACCATATCTCAATCTCCTCCTGTCCCAGAGAGCAAGGAAAAGTGAATAGAAATCTTCTGCTATTTTTGTCTTTTCTATTTGTGTCAGACTACAACTTATCCCTTATCATAAGGTTTCTATACTCTCTGCTTCTCATTAAAGATGAGCTTGGGTGTACATCCTCCTAACTCATTTCTATCTGAATAATAAAATCATGCTTTTGGAATTCTGAAGAGGCCCAAGCTCCACTATACTCCTCTTGCACCTTTCCTACAGTCTTGGCAGCAACATCTAGAGCCCATCATGAGCTGTGAACAATTGATATCAATGCTGAGCTATCTTACTAAGAATGACGCTCAGGTTATTACATCAGATCACCCAACACAATTTCACAGACCATTAATGGTCCATGGAGGACCAGCAAAAAGAGAACAGTTGTATTTAAGTTTATACTGTATGTTACATTGTTTTTTAGGAAATAAAAAAATGACAAGGGGGGTTTAAACTCGGAAGCAAAATATTTTTTCTCTTTATAATGTGAATACACTTGTCAATATTTAGGCGTGTGCTAAAATATGTGTGTTTCAGTCAATAGTGGCAACTACAGAAAATAAGGGTTTGTCCGGAGAATCATACTATATCAGAGATGGTGGAGTCTTGAGTTTGAATGACATATATGCTTCCACTACCATGCGAGATTTCCGAGCATTTACAGCGTGAGTATAATGTTTATGTCCTGCTTTTATAGTACTGGCAGTTAGGAGTAAAATTTGCGATGCTCTCTGTAGAAATTATTTTAGTTAGTTCATATGGTTGTCATTTTGCAAATTATCACATAACATTTAAAATCAACGTGACCTGGCCTTACAAGCATCTTGTAAGTAAAAGGGATGCAGTACTTGCAGTATGTATTTTCAGATTGATCTCTGTCCTTTTGGAGCCCCACAGTTAGGCTGTACACATGGCCTTAACGCCTCTCTCCATCCTGAAATTAAGCCCCCCGCCCTCTTCTAGTGATAAGCACCACCTTCTATCATTCAGTTGTCAGATACCAGAGCCGATGTGACAACTGACACAAGTATATGCAGGGATCATTGTACACAATGCACTTTTAAGGCCAAGGCCAGATTCCATTTTTTTTTGCTGTCTATAGCCATATGGTACTATATTACTTTTGTTTTGAGTCAAATTTCTTTTTTTTTTTATAAAATTAAGTTTTTTATTTTTATGTTTCAATAGAACATACACGCACACATGCACACACAAACTTTGCTTTGCAAAGACATATCTGATACACAATAAAGATGTCTCAGAGCACTGATCCTACCTCCCTAAAATTCCAGTCCTAAAACAAATCCCCCAACTACCCTTCAAGCACAAATAACCGCCCCCCCCCAAATCCCTCCACCTAGCACAACCTACCTCCCAAATGACCTTTCCAAGCACAAATCCACTCCCTGCCTAAATCACCCCTCCTAGCACAAATCTTGCCCCGAATTCCCCTTCCTAGCACACATTCCCCCAATCCTCTCTCATAGCACAATTCTCCCCTCCCCACCATCCCTCCTCCTAGCATAAATTAAATTCCTCAAATCCCGTTTCCCAGTACAAATCTTATTTCCCCAAATCCCCCCATTATCTTTGTACAAATCACCCCACTCTTTCATAGCACAATTCCTCCCATCCCTCCTAGCACAAAATCTCTCATCCCAAGCACAAATGTTGTCCCCAGTACAAGTCCCCCCTCCCTCCCTGAAACTTGTAGGTGGGACCTTGCTAAAAGTAGTGACAGCAGCAGAGAGGAGATCAGATCCAGGAGAAAGTGCCAGCCCCCTTTCCCCTTGTCCCGGCCCTCGTGTGAACATTATGGAAGTGCCTGATGGACAAGTTCAACCCCAACATCAGGGACTCTAGTGAAGCCCAAGAACTTTCAGAGCCTGCCCTTAGACAAGAATCTTTATCCATCCTGGTGAATAAACTGCCATCCTAGCCTTCAGTACTTAAATTCTTAACTCCAATCTGGAATCCCTGGCAATAGTGTTTTGCCAACTATTTTGGAAATACTCAATAAGTGTAATAGTAATCATATAGAAAATGCAGTAAGCCTTAGCAGCCACTTTTCATATTTGTGCTCCAGACTAACAGTAGAGAGCAGTCTGGGTTTAAAAAAAAATGTTCTTTAAAGTCAATAAACATGGACTATTTTTAATCCTTATGCTGCTAGCATTCGTAAGTGGATAGGAAAGTATATCATATTTACTTGTTTTAAACTTTTTTTTAACTTTTCTACAGTTTCTTCCTGGTTTCCATGCCTAGGCAAATAATGCGTACATCCAAGGAGTCTTCAGGAGGGGAGGGAGGGTTCTCAGCTTAGCTAATGCCTGAGCTAAGGGAAAATAGATTCCAGGAAGTAAATACTACATGAATCATCTGCCCTTACTTAGGATGGCCACTGCCAAAAATGCCAGGGGGTGTTTTTTCAAAATGATTTCCCAGCAAAATAAGGCATGGAGATATGGATGGATGGGTGAGTTTGCTCTGAATATTAACAATGAATTAAATAGAATTTTTGGTTTGTGGTGCTCAGATGCAGATGCATTATTTGAATTAAAGATAGTCAGCCTGGGGACACCCATACTAGCTCACTGGTACTATCAGAGAAGCCAGTCCTCCCGACAAGTACCAGAACTGAGAGATTTTCATGCCAGGCTTGAATGAGCAGAAATCTGATATTGGTATAAACTAAGGTATTTCACTTCTACCAATGGTAACCAATGGGGTATAATTCTAAGCATACAAATTGGAGTTTCTAAAGCCACCATATAACATAAAAATTAGCCTCTAGGAAGTGAGCATTATAATTGCTTGAAAACAGGTTTTGCTATTTTGAATGAAGGACTGTTTAGGTAACCTGTATTGCTGGGTTGTATAGACAATCATTATGTATTTAACTTTCTAGGAAAGAACTACAGGGTTATCCCAAGAAAGATATCCTGACATACTGGCAGGCAGAGGACTACCCTAAGGTCTGGGGGCATGGATTGAAAGAGAACCCCTTACCCAAGGAGGCTCAACCAACTCTTCGTCGTCCACCTCCCATGCGTGACAGCATGCAGTTCCCAACTGCCACAAAATTGCCACGGATTCCACCTCGTGCAAGATCTGTCCCTCACCGCGGACTTAAGACCCTGGTCCAGGAAAGCTATCAGTGGCCTCTTGATGCCAAGAGGTCACATGATGTTTATTTCCCACTAGAATGCCCCTGGACCATGCCACACACAGGACCTCTACCAGAGATCATGTCTGTGCCCAAGATGTATGAAACAGAATATGAAACATATGGCAGTAAGCAACCAGTTTCTGTGTGACTTCAGGTGCTATTAAAGAATAATTTCTAACATAGTCAAGCAATAAAGATTACTTGTTAATGGAGCATGTCTTATAATATTTTGACTGCAATATTGTACAGAATGTTTCCTAAATAAATATAGAGATAAGGTGGATTTCCAAGAAAAATGCAAATCCTCTCTTTGATTGGGACCACTGTTAAAATATGGAGGAATTTCCCAGTTCTTTGGGAACAATATTGGAACCTCTTTGCGCTGTTGCTTGTGGTAATTTATGAGTGACAGTCCAGTTAAAGAATTACACTTTTTTCCATTGGCCATACCACAATTTTAGATTTCACCCTCAGCAATCTTTCCCCAGAAAACAAGAGAGCTGCACAATACGTCATTTGTGTTACTGCAAGGAAAGGTATATATGTGTGTGTATACATATACTAAATATATATTATACAATACAGATATACATTATAATACTTAACCCAAACTCTGTATTTCAGTGATGGACTGAATCACTACTGTCGTTTTTTTCTGTACCTTGGTGTGATTTCCCAGCTGGAGCTCCTAATCTGCTCATCTCAAAATTTCACAATGTGATATATTCTACATAATGTAAAATAAAGGACTACAAGTGTCTGGATCTGCAAATTCAGGAGCACGTCTTGTGGTAGAATTCTAACTACTGGCACCTCGAATCAATTTTGGAATGAAGTGACCCTTTAAATTTTCGTATTTGCATATTACTGTAATGTCTATAAATAGTTATTGTATTCCAAAACATTGTTCATTTTAGCATTTCTAGCTTTAACCTTAGGAAGGTTGAAGTATTAGGTCTTACCATGACATATTTAGCTGCATCAAGAACTTCTCTGGTTACAAACGCCCACACAGGCAGCCACTTCACTTCTAGGAACTCAGGATACAGGAAGAATCAAGGACATGAAAGACACCAAATCATGATATCCTTTCAGCACAGATGAGTTATTATCACATAATTTATTAAATTCTATATCTATATTTTTTATTTATTTATTTTTAGGTGAGGTTAGCTTTAAGGAAAAGTATAAAACATTTTGGTTAGAAAAACACACATTCAGTTATTTGTATCACTTATCTCATAGTTATTATTATTATACAGTATTTATAAAGTGCCAATAGTTCGCTCAGCGCTGTACATTACAAAGGGGGACAGAACATGTGACAGAACAACAACAATACAATGCAAAACATGAGGGGATCGAGGGCCCTGCTCTTTCGAGCTTACAATCTAGGAGGGAGGGTATGGTGGCACAGGAGGAGATATCTGTGGGGGATGGGGTGGTACGAAGAGTGGAGGAGGTTGGCAAGTTAGCAGGGGGTGGGGTAGGCTTCCCTGAAGAGGTGGGTTTTCAGGGTGCGCCTAAAGGAGAGGAGAGTAGGTAATAATCTGATGGGTTGGGGCAGGGAGTTCCAGAAGATGGGTGACACCCTGGAGAAGTTCTGGAGGCGGGCATGGGAGGAGGAGACCAGGGAACTAGAGAGAAGGAGGTCTTGTGAGGAGCGGAGTGTGCGTGCTGGGTGGTGCTGGGAGGTCAGTGATGTAGTTCGGGGCAGTATGGTGGACGGCTTTGTACGTCAGTGTTAGGACTTTGAATTTGATCCATTGCGCAATCGGAAGCCAGTGGCTGGATTGGCAGAGGGGGGTGGCGGAAATGGAGCTGTTGGAAAGGTGAATGAGTCTGGCAGCCGTATTCAGGATCGACTGAAGCGGGGGGATAGCCAGCGGCGAGGCAGGCCAATAAGGAGGGAGTTGCAGTAATCGAGTCGTGATATGATGAGAGAGTGGATGAGCTGTTTAGTGGTTTCTGGGGTTAGGAACGTGCGTATTTTGGCGATGTTGCGGAGGTGGAGTCTGCGCGAGCTTGTTAAAGATTGGACTTGGGGCTGGAAGGATAGGTTGAAGTCCAGAATGACACCAAGTACTCTGGCCTGCGGGGCGGGTTTGATGGTGGCGTTGTTGGATGTGACGGAGAAGTCAATGGGGGGTGGTGTCCGGGCTGGGGGGAAGACAAGAAACTTGGTTTTGGAGAGGTTCAGTTTAAGGAAGTGGAGCGACATCCAGTCTGATATGTCGCTCAGTAGGTGTGTGATTCGGGCGGAGACTGAGGTGGTGAGGTGGGGGGTTAAGAGATAGATTTGTGTGTCGTCGGCATATAGGTGGTAGTTGAAGCCATGAGAGTGTATGAGTTGGCCAACGGACGAGGTGTAGATGGAGAAGAGAAGGGGCTGAGGATGGAGCTTTGAGGGACCCCAACAGAGAGGGGGAGTGAGGGGGAGGTGGTAGCATTATAGGTAACGCTGAAA